CCCGCCCCCCGCCCTGACCCTGCCGCCGCTGCTGGCAAGCCGCGGAGGCCGGCAGGCCCCCGCTCAAGCAGAGGCCGGTGGTGGTGATTGTAGGCCGGGCGGGAGCGCCTATTCTAGTGTCCGGTCTAATTTTCTCTTTGCCGCCTTGAAAGATAGCTCAAGCAACTAGCAACATAACCCTGTCAATCCAAACGTGTACATTGTACACTTAAAATAAAGTGTACATGGCATGTATGCTTTGAATAATGTATACCCATGTATACATTTATAAATGTGTACATCTTTTAATGTGTACCTGCTCCTGTACACATGTTTCAAATTGTACATGGCATGTATACTATCGGTTCCCGGGTGAAACGGTTTGTATACAACTCACTAAGAAATTTTATAACAATTTATAGACTTTTATAAAATTGAATATGATTGTGTACACCGTAATATAACGATATAAAGGGTGTTTTACAAATGTGTATAATATTTGGTAAAACTGTATACAATTATATACAGAGGCATGTATACGTTTTTATAAAATCTAATACAATGTATGTACAATAAACGTGCCATATATAAAGCGACGTATCTTAGAGCATCGTTGTACGTCACGCATGTATACAGCCACATACATGTGAATAAATGCCACTTTGCCCTACATTAGAATGTATACAGGCACATACACTCATACAGTTACAGGTAACATTTCTGGCCACTCCCCAGAATGTAGGCAAAATGTGGTTGAGTTCTAAAATGCAGCATAACTTCTAAACGGCTACACATAGGAAAGTGAAACAACCACTATCGTGCTCAGGGCAAAAAGATGATTCGGAAAACATATTTGCTGAAAACGACAGCCACCCACTCAGGCCGCTTCTCCCGTGAGTAAATTGAAACGCTCAAGTACATATTGTATAATATTTTATAAGAAGGTATACTGACAAAGTAATACAGTTTTACCAAATGTAATACAATTACCTTTATACAGCTTTATACAATTACTTGTATACCTCTGTATACAAACTTACTGTCAATGTTTTTTCACCCGGGTTGTATGTACACTTTAAAAGATGTGTACATGGGCATGTACACATTAGTTAAAGCATACATACCATGTACACTTTATTTAAAGTGTACAATGCACACATTTAAATCGACAGAGAAAACTCGACGAATTAGACTTTCAACAGAATCAGAGGTGTTTTTGTCGTTAGGAATTTTAATTTTCAAAAAAAGGATTTATGGTATCTACTGTAAGATATTTTTTAAAGTGTCCTAAGTCTTTCCTAAAACGTCGGATTTGTCTTTCAAATTTTACCCGACATATTTACTCTTTTTCAAATTTTTCTGGGAAAAATTTCATTTTTTTCGGACAATTTTCGGACTTTAAAATGCCTGGTCGTCGTTGTTGTTGTTGCTTCGCACGAGTGGGTGACCCGGGGCGCACGGACGGCCACCGCCGCCGTCCACAAGTAGACAGACCGGGGGCGACCTCAAATTTGGCAGCTTTTGTCGGGCGCCGCCGGCGCCGCCGGCGCCGCCGCGTCGTCCCACACGCTTGTCGCACTCCATGGAGAAGATCAAAGGGAAGGGCCTCCGGTCCATACCCTCCTCCCCCCCACCTCTTTCCTCTCCTCGAGCTCAATTCACTGCTCCAGAACACGCGTTCTGTAAAAATTATGCTGTAAAGTTGCCATCGGCATATGTGTTGATATTGACTTTTCCCATGGACTGATCATCGCGCCGTGCGACAGTCGTCGTCCCGCTGTTGTGTATCAAGCGACAACTTTTACCCCCAAAAAATCAATAACAAGTGAATCGTTTTTGTCAAGTATTGTTAGGTACGAACTCTTAAGTCTCGACAATTCACTGTCCTAGAAAGAAACATTTTTTCTTTGTAATCACATAAGGGGTGAATCAGTTGTTTGACAGTGCAGGGCACCATTTTAGTGCCATTTTTTGTTCGAAAAAAATCTTCCTTTAAAAAAGAAATACATATTTAATTTTTACGCTGTTAAAAGCATTTCGGTCAATCTTAATTTATAAATGGGTCCGACTCTGGTGTTTCGATCCTAAAGAGGCTGTGTGTTATGGACTCATGGTGTGTCCGACCGGAGCAAACCCCCTGCTGCCCTGAC